CTTACTAGCTATGTTGCCACCTTACGAAGCTATGTGCACCTACGAGCTATGTGCACCTACTAGCTATGTGCACCTACTAGCTATGTGCACCTACTAGCTATGTGCACCTACGAGCTATGTGCACCTACGAGCTATGTGCACCTACTAGCTATGTGCACCTACTAGCTATGTGTACCTACTAGCTATGTGCACCTCACGAGCGTATGGTGCACCTACTTAGCTATGTTTATGTGTACCTACTAGCTATGTGCACCTACGAGCTATGTGCACCTACGAGCTATGTGTACCTACTAGCTATGTGCACCTACGAGCTATGTTGCCACCTTATATGCTCTATAACCGTGCACCTACGGAGCTATGTTGCTGTACCTACTAGCTATGTGTACCTACTAGCTATGTGTACCTACTAGCTATGTGCACCTACAAAGCATTGGCCGAACGCTAGGTAGGTGGGGAGACAGAATCATTTGCCATTACCACGTCCCACTGCAGAACCGCGCCCATCGTTCGAGTAGTCGCGATCACTTACATCCTGATTAAATATTCTAGCTCTGGTTTTTTGGTACTCCTCTTCTCGTTCCTCGATCGACTTGTTCCTCCTCATGCTTTCCGTCGACGACTGCCTTCCAGGGCTGTGCGTCTGCAAACGTCAACATGCGCCGACCACTGTTAACAACGTTCGCATCAGCAATAGTAGGCGACCGACAACCCCCTCCCCCCAACCCCTGGTGACCTCTGAGTAGGCCGGACTAATTTCCATGGATCATACTATAGGTTATACAGTAAGATATCGAAAAAAAATCGGATTCAGGACCGGCTGGGATTTCAGACTTATTTCCGAGATGGAAAACACTGTGAATGCGGACGATACATCCATCTTACATAATCTACTCACACTCATAGCGTACGTACGTACGCACGCACGCACGCACGTCCGCACGTACACACGCACGCACGCACGCACGCACACACACACAACGCTAGACGTACGTGAGAACCGACTGCGCATCTGATCACTAGGCTCATCGACCGCCGAGCACCGAACGAACAAGCGGATGGTTTTCCCCCAGCTACCACGTCACGCGTCACGATCGATGCAGTACGCTACTAACCCCCTTGCCATCCTCAAAGCTACTGCCAAAGCTGCCTCCGCTGCCTGCTCCTTCCCGCTTCAGGAGTCGCTTGGGCTCATCTCCCAACGAATCGTCTCTTATCAGCTGCCTGAACTTGTTCTCTGGTCTGCAAACGAGAGAAGCGAGCGTGAGTGGCGGGCTTTCACACAGCTGGTCATACAAAGGTCGGAACCAGTGGTATACGCGCATTCGAAACCTTGCTCGTAAATTTGAGTATATCTCTCACGAATTTGAACAAATTAAATACGTGAATTTTTCGGCGTGGTTCCGTTTCCATTAATTTTACGCTTATTATTCGGGCGTAGAATACAAATGCATCAATTAACCATTTCGTTCGTCATCGGTATGGTAATTAACCTCAAGTATGCAGATCTTTAAACGAGATGTTTCCCATGTTTATATGCGGTGTTCGATCGATCAATCAGCGTTAGACCTATCAATCGGTATTAGATCCATCGACCGGCACTCAACCTATTAATTAATAGTCAATCTACTAAGTGGCATTGGATCTATCATCAAGCGTTCAATCAGGCGTTCAATCAGGCATTCAATCAGGCGTTCAATCAGGCGTTCAATCTGCTGTTCCTCAATGGCGTTTCAATCATGGCATTCAATCAGGCCTGTTCATTCATGCGTTCATAGCGTTCATCAGCAGTCAAATTCAGGCGTTTCATCATGCGGTTCAATCAGGCGTGTGCAATAAGAGCGTTCAGTCAGGTGCTTTCAATCAGGATTCATCAGGGCGTTCAATTCAGTGCGTTCAAATCAGGCATTTCAATCAGGCATTCATCATGCGTTTAACCAGGCATTCAATCAGGGCGTCATAGTGGCGTTCTCAGGCATTCAATCATGCGTTCAATCAGGCATTCAATCAGGCGTTCAATCAGGCATTCAATCAGGCGTTCAATCAGGCGTTTAAGTTCATTCTGTTGGTAGATAATAGATCTATCTTGGTTAATTTTTTACTCAACGTGTTGATCAAAGGGTCAGCTGACGTTTCGCCTCCACGGAGGCTTTCTCAAAGCTGATGAGAGTTGCATAGAAGACTCACATGTGTTTGTGTGTCAACGGCTATGGCTCCCACGTGACTGAGTCTGTTCCCCTCGTCACGGTTGCATTGTTCGGCGGTCTTGCCGGATTTATGGCTTCTTTTCCTTCAGTCAGCTTTGAGAAGCCTCCTGATGAGAGGCGAAACGTCGACGTAGTTTTGCACAAACCGGTCGAGTTTAAAATATTAAACGTAGAAGAGATGTTAGTATTACACTCTAGTGTGTCTTTGCTTTGTTCGCATGGAGTACTTAGTATTATCACTCTAGTGTTTCTTTGCTTTGTTCCGGACTACGACGTACTTGTACTTTACCTCGCGTGTTCTTGCTTTGTTGCAGACTGGAGTACTATACTTACCTTCTCGTGTTCGTTGCTTGTTCACGCGAACCAATTACTTGAGTACTTAACGTCGCTCGTGTTTTTGCTTTTGTCACGGCCCACAGTACTTGTATTCACTCTCATGTTCTTTGCTTTTGTTCTGACTACGGACTGTTGACTTATGTACTTACTCGCGTGTTCTTTGCTCTTGTCACGATCTAGGAGCTACTTGGTAACTTAACTCGCGGTTCTTTTGATTTGTTACGACTACGACGTACTTTCGTATTACACTCTTGTGTTCTTGCTTTGTTCTCGACTAGGACGTATATGAGTACTTACACTCGGTGCTTCTTTGCTTTGTTCACGACTACGGACGTCTTTAGTACTTCACTTTTGCGTGTTTTTGCTTTGTTCGACACGGATGTATGAAGTACTTACACTTCGTGTTCTTTGCTTTGTTCACGGACTACGGATGTGCCGTGCTGTCGAGGTTGTCGAGTCGAGAGTAGGTGCGACGCGGTTCTCACCCTCTCTAGTGAACTGAGCTTGCGGGTCGAAATCATTGGCTGGATTCTTTCAACTGTCGCTGTTCGAACAGTGGCCCGCTAGCGGCAGCACGCGAGCGAGAGAGGGTATTACTAGCTCGCAGCGCTGAGTGGCAATCGTGGACACCGAGCATTGCGCGTCTGTGATGCAGGCGCGCCCTCTAGGCAGCGCATCTAACAAAGAATTGCTTGCGTAGCTATTTTAAAGACGCTCCTCTTTTTTCTTCTGACCGGGTGGTCCTTTGTCCTTTCTTCTCAGAATCAAAATTCAGGAGTTAGTAGTACTCTCTCTACCTGGTTCTCAGCAGGATTCCCCTCACACTCCGCCACTCACTTCGTTGTCTTTGCACCAACGCGTATGTCTGTTCCAACTTGAGCACAGCACGCGATCTTCCGATTCTTGTGCGAGGTCATAGATTGAACTCTTCAAGGATCGTTCCCTGTGGAGTCTGCTTGTAGGCTTCTGTCGGCTTCGAATCTGCGGGGCGAGCGATAATTGTCATTCCCCCTACGCCGATACACACAACATGCGATGCATGTGCACGGTCCGCAGGTTGAGCAGCACACACGCACGTTATACGCTGTGCGCACAAACGACATGCATGGATGTGCACGTGACACAGAGGAGTAAACATTTTGATCATTAGAGTACGTCCCCACGATGGCACCATTTTCCGCTGGGATACAGTGGGCTCATTCCGGTGTGGAGAGAGGAGCAGTGTACCTCGGACAGGGCCTCACCGAGGTATCTTCGCTTTGTTTTTGTGGTGCTCTGTTTTGAGGCTGCGGTGGCGTGCTTGGCTGCAGAGCACCAGTTCCAAGTTCACACGCAAACAATAAAGGTTCTCGAATTTCACGGTTCGGGCACGAAATATTCAGTTTGCATCGGACCCCGCAGTGGCCCACCGTCTAGCGCTGTTACCTTTCGTGTTGTCTCGCCTTCTCGGCGGCCTCTTCGGGAGCAGCGCAGCCCGAGATCCGGCGGGGGAGGCGGGGTATCACGAAGGGCCTGATCCGCGAGCAGTCGTCCCTTAAGGCTGTTGTTGTCGCATCTGTGCAACGCAGAGCAACGCGGTCGTGTGAGGACGGCCACAACCGCGCTTTCTCCTTCGTGAAGGTCAAAACGGAAACCGCAGAGCAACGCGCTGTGACGGCAAACGACAACCGCCCAGAAGCAACGCGGGTTTCCTCCGTAGAACGGACCGGACAAACCGCAGAAGCACGCGGTCTATCAGTAACGGACCAACAACTACGAAAAACGCAGGCACGGGCTAGAAACTCTCTGTGAGACGGAAAGCAGAGCAACGCGGTGACGTATCCTCCTGTACAGACGGAAAACCGCCAGAGGCGAGCAACGCGCGCTCTGTCCCTCGCCAGGTGACGGCGAACAAACCGCAGGCAACGCTGTTCGCCCGTGAAGGACGAACAACGCCAGAGCACGCGGTCTCTTTCCGAGCTTCTTCTCCTCGTGATAACGGAGAACAACCGCAGAGCAACGCGGATCGCTCTGTACGGCCGTATGAACCGCGAGCAACGCGGTCCTGCAACGGGTCTGATACGGAAACGATGACGCGGCGCATGTGTTCGGTGAACGGGGACAAACGCAGACAATGTGTTCGTATACTGTGACGGACGGCTGAACCGCAGAGCCGGCGGTATAGTGAACGGGACGGATGAACGCAGAGCAACGCGGGGTCGTCTCGTAGTGAACGGCGGACGAACCGCAGGCAGACGCGGTATCTGTTGTGAATTGGAGAAAAACGCAGAGCAACTGCGGGTTGAACGGCCGACGAACAAACCGCAGAGCACCGCTGGCAGTACGGCACGACGCAACCGCGAGCAACGCTGCTCGTGAACGGACGGAACAACCGCAGAGCACGCTGTCCGGTGGACAAGAAAAAAAAAAAAAAAAAAAAAAAAAAAAAAAAAAAACAAAAAAAACGGAAAAACACGAACCGCAGAGCACGCAGAGTCGTGAACGGCGGTGACGACCGCAGAGAACGGGCCCAACCTCCAGCGATTCCAGATCGCTCGTAACGGACGGACGAACGCCCAGAGCAAGCAGGTCCTATTCTCCCGTGAACGGCAGACGAACGCAGAGCAACGCGGATGCCTCGTAACGAACGTAACGACCGCAGAGCAACGCAGTCCTATTCCTCGCAACGATCACTGTGGACGGACGGAACAGACTGCGAGCACGGCTGCCGATATTTATACTGTCCGTCGCAATAATACATATCTTTCCCTTCCCTCCATCTTGTGACGAGCGGAGACGCAGAAGCAAACGCGGATATTGCCGTCCATATACCCGCCCATGTGAACGGACGGACAAAACCGCAGAAGGCAAGCGGGTGAACAGCGAGCAACGAAACCGCAGAGCATACGCGGTCCGAATTCCGATCCACACTCTGTGAACGGCACGGGACACGAATGCCGCAGCGCAAGCGGTGAACGGCGCGAAAACTGCAGAGCAACGAGGCTTCTTATCTCTTTAACTACTTGTGTTGTGACGGGAACCCACGAACAGAACCGCAGAAGCACGCTGTCTCTACCAGACGTGACGACGTGACACAAGGTGGCCTCGTGCATAATGTGACGGCGACGACCGCCGAGCACGCGGAGTCTGCTGAACGCGGAAGCCAAACGCAGCGAGCAACGCGGTGTGAACGCGACGGAACCGCCCAGCAGAACGCAGGTCCTGGTGAACGCGACGGCACATAACGCGGATCCAAGTACGGTACCACACGCACGCACCGCGAGCAACGCGGAAGTGAACGGCGCGACGAACCGCCAAGGAGCGCACGCAGTTGAACGGCACGGAAACCGCCAGGCCAAGCAGGTGACGGTACGGACGACGCCGAGACAACGCGGTACGCTGCCGTGAAACGGACGGAGTAACGCAGGAGCATGTGGTCGCTCCCGGGAACGAACGGACAACCGCCAGAGAAGCGCGGCTTATCTTCTGTGAACGGACGGCTACGAACCGCCAGAGCAATGTGTTCTACTCATATTCTTCAACTACGCTGAACGAACGGACGGAGAACCGCAGGCACTGTGGGTCGCTGCTGAAACGACGGACAAACGCAGAAGCAACGCGTTGCCTTCCCTGTGAACGGCGACGAACCGGCAGTAGCACGCGATCCCTGTGACGGCACGGTACGAAGCGCGCAGAGCAATTGTGGTCTCTGTGACACGACACGAGGACGGAACGAACCGCAGAGAATGGAGGCGTGACTGAACGCGACCGATGAACCGCAGAGCAATTGTGGGTGACGAAAAACGACGGTCACGAAACCGCAGAGCAATGTGGGCTCGTGAACGAGCAGTACTCACGCGAAAACACGGACGAACGCAGAGCAATGCGGCTGTCTCAAATCCGACAACGGCAAGAACAAAAACGAACGACTGCATCGAACCGACTTAGAGCAACGCAGAATGAAAGCACCGAAGACGCAATGGGGCAGTGAACGTAACCTGGCGACCCGCTATCGCGCAAATCTGGATGCGATTATTCGAAAGAACGACAGGATGATAACAGGCGAAACACCGATCGTTGACTTCATTCGCGTTCATCTTTTGACAGTTCGTACGGCTCAGACCACTAGCCAAATTTTGTGACGTGTTGAATTCAGACTAACTAATATGCGTCGTTAGGACGGTTAGCAATGAGTACTAACGTTTTGAACTTATCTAGTCTAAACTAAGGCGAAAAGTTTAGGCGAGTCATAGATCAATTTACTCCCTGATTTAGTGTCGGACTCCCTGATTTGACATATGCAGGAGTTCGTGTGACTCCCTGAAAATTCTTAGCTAGACTAAAACAAGATTTCTTGTTAGTTTATTGTCTCCCCCACGCGTTACTCTAACTCTGGCCAAAGCTGGAGGTAACTTCGCACGCGTCGCATGCACCGCGGGCGGGGCCTGCGGGTCAATGCCGCTGCTCGCCTGGCGCAACTCCGCTTGTGCGGTCAGCTGAGCATCTGCATCGGTCTCGTAGTGGAAGCGCTGCGCGTTATTCTCCCTCGGTACAGCGTTCCTCCAGCCGGCGCTCGTCTTCCGTCCTTCCGTCGGCGACCCTGCGGTGCGGATAACACGCATCGCCGATGTGCTAAATCGCGGTCATAAACTATATATGGACTTGTTTAATGGTTATTAGGTTGCTAGTCTAGTTTTGTTGTACTTAATACTCGCTGCCTCTCTGTCGTTCTCTCTCTCTCTCCTCTCCTCTCTCTCATCTGTTATCTCTCTCTCTCTACTTCTCTCTCACTCTATATATAATATTAATATATATACGTATAATTATATGCAAGGAGTGTATTAATAGGGAGGAGCTGTGACATCAATAAACAAGGAAATTCGTCACTTTACTGCCTTATGAATACCTATCGATTGTACCTCCGCGTAACTCATCCTAACTTTGAGCTCAAATTCACGGAACCAGGGTTACATCGTCGCCATTCATCGCTACGAAAATCTTTGCTGTAGCACCGCATCGAGATACAACTAAAAATACGCACCGAAATTCTCCAATCTTTTGGCCATTAATCAACCCGTAGATGGCGCGCCTATATTCAACAAAGCGCAGTACTAACCACACTGTCCACGGCTTGGCGTCACGGCGAGGCGCTGTGGCTCGCAGGGAAATTTCAATCCGTCATTTCTTGCTGGCCTTTGGATAGGGCGATTTTTGACGAATAGAATAATAATGAAACAAACGAAACCCACAACGCGGACGAACACTAAAGCGGAAGTAAATCAAGAAAACTGAACGTCTAAATAACGAGATCCTTCGATGCCAATCGCTAAAATATACTGTTCAACTAAACTAACGCGTCAACATCTATCGAATTACAGCTACAAATTTTAA